TGCTAAAGTAAAGAAACTTTGCTTCCTTTGCTTCTGTTAACAAACATTGGTTTTCACGAGTCTCACCGGCGAATGCGCAGCGCTGACCCCATACGTTATGCTCCCGGAACTGCCTCTGTGTACAACTGTTGGCGCAAGCTACGTTAAAGTGATTATTACGTTTTGAATATGGATATTTTTCTTACAAAAACCCATCGATTCGCTACAGAAGGCCTTTGTTCACCCCTCGGAGCAGTGTGAGACACGTTTTTTTTATGGATGTGCGCTTTTTATTTCACTTCTTTTGGACTGATGCACTGCAACACCCGCTGAGTGGCATTAAACAGCTTGAAAGATCAAAGACCATTTTTAATATAGCTCCGACTGGATTCGTCTGAAAGAAGAAAGTCATATACACCTAGGATGACTTGAGGGTGAGTAATTTATGGGCTAATTTTAATTTTTGGGTGAACTAACCCTTTAATGTAGCCGGATTCCGCGGGAAAACCGTGCACTTGGCAACACTGGTCTACAGGTTTTCTGGACTGTTTTTATGATACTTCAGTGGTACGTTCTGTCCTTTGTGGTACTTGACCACTGATTGTTCAGGATGTTCAGCAGAGGAAAGAAATTAATTGGGTCTTGACAGAATTTTCCTTTTTAATCCCAGACTTTGATGAATCCTAACCTCTTTGGATTTCCTAATTTCTTATCTGTTTCCCCCCCTCCATCCTTCCCATAGCTGATCATAATTACGGGACCAAGTTACGAGGCTCTGACGTCTGAAGGCATTCAGCTGAACGTGGGTGGCAGTGATGTTGAGGAGGTCACATGTACACTGATCGGGGACATGTCGTATAATCGGATGTGTCAGTCAGGAGCCAGCTCCCGTCCCAGCGCCGGTATAGTGACCTGTTCTGTGTTTCAGCTCTTAAACGTGACTTATCAGTCAATCATAGTGTACTAGCGATGTGTGCTTTGAAACTGTTTCACCGCTTTAACTACTTCCTTATGAGCTTGGTGTCAGTTTAATCAGTTTTAGTAATAGAAGCTATTTTAAGGATTTTGAGCTTTAAAACAGCGATGTTCTGAAGACACTCTGTTGTGTGTTTAATGACTCCAGATCTGGCTGAGAAGCGGTTATTGGATCCCGGTGAAGAAACACACTGTTCAAAAGCTCAGCAGTCTCTCAGTAGGTCAGTCAGTGTGAACCTATAGACACAGCGACACATGAAACCTCTTGTCTTTGTGTTTTCTTTTCATCTGATACACCACCATTGAAAAGTTTGGTGTCAGTAGCTATGTTTCCATCTAAAGATTCAAATTTAAGTTGTGCGCAAAACTGGAATATCACATTAAACATTTGCAAATAAAGCACCGTTTCCATCCAACGTGTCAAAGAGAACAAAATCGTCACTTCCTGGTAAACTGGCACTAAATTTCATTAAGAAAGGTAGGAGAAGCCACTAAATATAATAATTTTCATATATGATAAATTACTTGCGCCTCAGAGCGAGCAGACGAAACACAATAAATGCGGCCACTGCTTTCGGAGGTGGATGCTGCTCTTTGGGAATGCAGTCGTGTAAGACAATTTTACAGAAATAGGCCTACTTTGATGACAGACTTTGCTCAGGCATTTCAGAACGACCAAAACAACATTTCAGATGCTGTGCAACGAGATCGGTCCATGGGTTAGTCAAGTTATCCCATCCCATCGTGCAAAGTCACATGACTGTCCTGACATGCAGGTGGAATTTATTCGGTAAATGTGTTTCCATCGTAGTTTATGCGCATTTTTCTAATCGGATAAAAAGTTTATCCTACTCAGTTGTGCGCATATGTTTTTTTTTAATGCACATTTTTAGAATGTATGCCCGTCTTGGCATTTCCATCCAGCGTTTATTTTTTTTTATGTGGTATTCCAAAATGCGCATTAAAGTGAAGTGACATGTGGCCAAGTATGGTGACCCATACTTGGAATTAGCTCTGCATTTAACCCATCCAAAGTGCACACACACAGCAGTGAACACACACACACCGTGAACACACACCCGGAGCAGTGGGCAGCCATTTATGCTGCGGCGCCCGGGGAGCAGTTGGGGGTTCGGTGCCTTGCTCAAGGGCACCTCAGAGTGCTGTACATTCACTCCCCCCACCTACAATCCCTGCCGGTACAAGCCCACAACCTTTGGGTTACGAGTCTGACTCTCTAACCATTAGGCCACGACTTCCCCCTTAAAATAGGTGGAGGGAAACATATACTGAGATTTATTTTTTTTTTTTGAAGAAATTAACATCAGCATCAGGAAGGATGCATTAAATTGATTAAAAGTGACTGTAGCAAAGGCTATTTTTTAATGTTACAAAATATTTCTATTTGAAATAAATACTAGTCTTTTATATTCATCAAAGAATCCTGAAAATAAAATGTATCATGATTTCCGCAAAAATATTAAGCAGCAAAACTGTTTTCAACATAAAAATGTTTCTTGAGCAGCTAGTCAGCATATTAGAATGATTTCTGAAGGATCATATGACACTGAAGACTGGAGGAATGATGCTGAAAATTCAGCTTTGATCACAGGAATAAATTACATTTTAAAATACAGTATATTCAAATAGAAAACAGTTCATTCAAATTGTAATAATATTTCACAATATTACAGTTTTTACTGAACAAATAAATGCCGTTTTGGTGAGCAGAAGTGACTTCTTTCAAAAACTGTAAAAAAATCAGTAGTTAATATTGACTCATTCATTGACATCAGACTTTAGACATCTAAGTGTCCTAATTTTATACACGCCTTAACAGTTAAAGTTACACCGTGTCACATGCCTGATTTTCCAGTGATTAAACAAGTCCTTACGGGGAGAAATTGCAGGAAGTGATTTGTCAGCTTTTTGTCATTGTGTTGAGTTGGGTTTGGTTTATATATGACATCTAACCTAAAAACTTTTTTTTAAATTGATAGAGACTACTGGTGAAACGTTTGAAATAATTAACATGTTTGAAAGAAGTCCTATCTGGTCGCCAAAGCTGCATTTATTTGATCAAAAATATGGTAAAAACTGTAATATTGTGAAATGCTATTCCGAATTCCGTTTTCTATTTGAATATATTGTATAATGTCATTTATTCCTGTGATCAAAACTGAATTTTCAGCATCATTACTCCGGTCTTCAGTGTCACAGGATCCTTCAGAAATCAATCTAATATGCTGCTCTGCTGCTCAGATGTTATCAGTTATTATTGGTGCACAATTATTAACAATGGTTCATATTATCAGTGCTGAAAACAGCTGCTTAATATCTTTATGGACACCAAGTCATCCTATTTTGTGCATTATTACTTTACGGTGAACTAAAAACTCCTCACAAATGTCAAAAAATGTTTTGCTGCTTTGTGTTTCACACTCAGTCACTCAGTCTGGGACATCAGCTCGGTGATTTGCTCTGAGTTCAGTGGTGTTTGTGTGTCAGGTGTAAGCGGAGCCGGCGGGGTCCAGTAATCGAGGCGGACGGCATGCTGAAGATGTTCCACTGTCCGTATGAAGGCTGCAGTCAGGTGTATGTGGCCATTAGCAGTTTCCAGGTGAGCTCATGTGTGCAATGCATGTCTAATGAGGTTGCGGCCAGAGAATCCCTGAGAGCACAAACCAATGCCACAGTACAAACAGTTAAAAATAGAAGCTGGAAAATTATACACTGTGAAATGCGTTGACGTAAATCTGACCGGCCAGGTGCTTTGTCTGTTTTATTGTTCAAGTCAAAGGAAACATTTTAATGCCTCTTAATTGTTTGGTGCACCTTAGCAACAGGAAATGAAATTTCCCTACATACAGGGTGGGTTAAATATTGTAAACGTTGGAATGTAAATCTGCTGCTACATATTTAATTGGTTGGTTAATTTTTGCTTATCAGTTTTTTAAAATTGCAATATTTCACAGTATTAGGGTTAACGTACCTAGTAAGCTCACCAAAATCTACATCGAGACATTTTTAGTGCACAAGATATTGGTTTCAGTACAAAAAGTTGTTAAAATAAAATACGAATCTCTCACACAAAAATATTAGATTTTATTTTAAATGACAAAAGCATTTCAATTAAGATATACAGTGGGGGAAAAAAAGTATTTAGTCAGCCACCAATTGTGCAAGATGAGAGAGGCCTGTAATTTTCATCATAGGTATACCTCAACTATGAGAGACAAAATGAGAAAAAAAA